GTGTGTGTGTGTGTGTGTGTGTGTGTGTGTGTGTGTGTGTGTGTGTGGCAGGGTTGGCCCACTTCCCCCGAGCTAATTGGTACGATCCGCTTAACGAGTTAAACGAGGTGAATTGGGGGGGATCAGGTGGTCTGCTGCTCCGGAAACTGACACCTAGACACACACACACACACACACACACACACACACTTCCTCTCTCACACATCATCATCATCAGCAGCAGCAGCAGGTGCTTGCTAGCTTGTCAATCATAACTATTATCGGTGATAAACAGTGAAGTGTGTGTTGACGCTTTGGTTCCGCTGCCCCCTGGTCGTCCTTAAAGATGACGCAGGTTATTGTTATAAGCAGGTTCAATGAGTAACCCGATGAAGATGAAGGTAGTCTCATGTCCGTCAGCGATGTGTTATCGGCTTATTGGAAAGCAGCAAGGTCATTGGTCGAGCTGTCGGGGCACGTCATGCTAACCGATCAACGGCATCGACCTATTGGTGTTTGGGTCAAAGACGGGCAGCCAATCGCACGCCAGCATTTTGGGGATGGTGGAAACCGGTTATGTGACAGCCATACGCTGATCAGTAACACAAACAACACACACACACCAGCAGCTGGGATCAATACACACACACACACACACACGCAGTGTCTAATGTCTGTATTGATTTACCCCCGCTCTATTTTCACAGACACAAAAATGAAGCATACAAAGAAAGAGCACTGTACCTACTGTGAAACATGGAGGAGGCTCGGTTATGTTCTGGTGCTGCTTTGCTGCATCTGGCACAGGGTGCCTTGATCTGTGCAGGGTACAATGAAATCTCAAGACTATCAAGGCATTCTGGAGCGAAATGTGCTGCCCAGTGTCAGAGAGCTTGGTCTCAGTCACAGGTCATGTGTCCTCCAACAGGATAAAGACCCAAAACACAGCTAAAAACACCCAAGAATGAATAAGAGCAAAACATTGGACTATTGTGAAGTGGCCTTCTATGAGCCCTGATCTAAATCCTGTTGAACATCTGTGGAAGGAGCTGAAACATGCAGTCTGGAGGAGGCACCCTTCAAACCTGAGACAGATGGAGCAGTTTGCTCACGAGGAGTCGGCCAATATACCTGTCGACAGGTGCAGAAGTCTCACTGAGAGTTACAGGAATCACTTGATTGCAGTGATTGCCTCAAAAGGTTGTGCAACTAAATATTAAGTGAAGGGTACCATCATTTTTGTCCAGGCCATTTTCATTAGTTTGTTTTTTTAAATGATTCTGTTGAACCACAATTCAAAAGCAAAGTCTGATTTGTATTAGTTCATTTTCAGTAAATTTTTATTTATTATTATTTTTGTCAGTTTCAAGTTATTTCAGTGACCGTCGTGGGTTTTTCTTTCTTTAACGGAATATACCAACAGTTTAGTCCACGTGTGTATATGGTGCTCTGCTTAAGTGCCTCTGAGCAAGAAACAAAGAGGCCTGCTGGCTGCAATCAGGTAGGAAGCTGCTACCTGATCCACCTGATCACACACACACACACACACACACACACACACACACACACACTCTGCTGTGGTTAAACAGAAGCCAATCTGGCTGAGAGCAGCTCCGTCTCGCTAAGAGCTCTCAGGCATTATTCATCACACACTGAATAATCAACCTGCTCTGGACTCTGTGATCGAGTGTGGAGGACAGAGAGAGGGAGGAAACATCTGGAACACGGGGAGGAGGGTCGACTCTCTGAACCAGAATGTAGAGAAAAGAAACGTAGAAACGTAAGAGAGACGTCGGTTATAATAATAATTACTTCTCGAAGAAACGTCGTCCAGAAGCACCAGAGGATCTAAATATTCAGCTGTGTACGAACATAGTAACATTAACTCTACCTGTGTACTCGCTACAGAAATACAATACTCAGGGTCTGTTAGTGGTGGAGGAAGTATTTAGATCCTAATAGTGTACCACTTTGGTTTTTGAACATATCTCAACAACTATTTGATTGATTGCCGTGAAATGTGGTACAGATGTTCAAGATCCCCAGAGGATACATCCTCAAGAGTTTGGTGATCCGCTGACTTTTCCTCTAGCGCCACCAGCAGGTCAAAGGTTTCCCTTAATCAGTGAAATATAACAATAAATTGCACATTCGTGTGTCTCAGACGGTGTTCACTAATGACTCCAGTGATCCGTTTACAGATAATGATGTGATGTCACTGTACCGATGTCAGGTGTACCACACGTGTTCCCACTCTCTTTAACTTACAAAGGTTTAAGGCCGACGCTGACAACTCTTTTCTCTTTCTTTGTCTCCAGCTGCTGAACCTCTTCCTGGCTCTGCTCCTCAGCAGCTTCAGCTCAGACAACCTGTCGGCTCCAGACGACGACGGAGAGATGAACAACCTGCACATCGCCATCCACCGGATCACCAGAGGCCTGGCCTGGTGCCGCAGACAGGTACCCGTCTGTCCGTCTGTCCATAGCAGCTGCTACCCCGTCTGAAAAGTGAAGCCGATGCTGATGCTAATGTCCACCAGGGGGCGACTCCTCTGGTTGTATCGAAGCCTATGAGAGAATGACTCTACTTCTCTCTTGGTGCCACACGGTGATTGACAGGTCGCTTCCACGTCGTCGTTCGATCTGAGAGTTGTCCGTGTTTTCGTCTTGCAACTTTCACACAGTGTGTCTTCACTTCATGAAGGTTAAATGTAACATTTTGGTCACCTTAAAATGTCCTCAGCATTCGGTTGTATGTAGCTCCACCCTCTCGTGTCACTTATGGTTGCAATAAAATGGCGAAGACCCAAAACTAAGATGGCAACGGCCAAAAACCAAGATGGCGACGATTCTAAGCTAAGATGGCAACAAACAAAAACCAAGATGGCAACAACCATAATCTAAGATGGCAACAAACAAAAACCAAGATGGCAATGTCCAAAAACCAAGATGGCGACAACCAAAAATTAAGATGGCAATAGCCAAAGAAACGGAACATTACGACCAAAAACCAAGTTGGCAATAGCCAAAAACTAAGATGGCGACAACCCAAAACTAAGATGGCGATGGCCAAAACAATAAGATGGTGACGGCCAAGATGCGTAACTCAAGGCTTTAAAAGAAGGCTTTGGTCCACAAACCAACCTCCTCTTCTTATAAGCAGTCTTTGCTATGTCAGCTGTTGAGACAGTCGGTTTACCTGAGTGTGAACTTCATTCTCGGTGTTTTGCGTTTCTTTCCCGATGCAGGTGGTGGATTTCTTCAACGGGAACCTGAAGCGCCGTCGTCAGAAGAGGAAAGAGGCCAAAGCTATGATGAAGCTCAAACGCCTGAGTACCATCCACACCGAGGCCAACGGAGCCGTCATAGGTACCACACTAAAGATGTTCATCTGTGCGTTCAACATGAAACAAAACAAAATCCTCCTGCTTCTTCAGCTAAATACACTCTTTCAAATGCAATGACAACAAAAAGTATTTTAAAGGGAAATATTTAGTCGTTTGATAATATTTGTCTAATATTTCATAATCGATTCACTTTTTTAAATGGCTGATGTCTGAGCGTCCCTGAACGCACCAACCAGGAGTTTTAGAGATTTTGTTCAGAGATGAATTTCGACACAATAACAAAAGATAATCTCATGAATCCATCTCAACGTCGATCCGTCTGCAGGCCGTCACGTGGAGAAGTACGTGGTGCCGGAGGACGACAGCTACATGACCAACCCCAACCTCACCATCAGCGTGCCCATCGCACCCGGAGAGTCCGACGTGGAGTTCCCAGAGGAGGAGGAGGAGGAAGAGGAAGAGGGGGAGGAGGAGCAGAGCGAGGGCTCCGAGGAGGAAGAGGAGGAGGAGGAGGAGAGGGAGGAGGAGGTAAGGAGGAGGTCTGAGTGTGAGGCTCTCTGGTTCACTCACAGGTGTGTGTGACGCAAGCAAGCTCTGTGTGTGTGTGTGTGTGTGTGTGTGTGTGTGTGTGTGTGTGTGTGT